GTTAAAAAAATGTATTGGGTTAGAAGCCCTGATGCTGACATCCCTGCCTGCACCCTGTACAGAGCTACCTCTACCCCACAGCAGAAACACAACAAGTTTTTTCAGTGCCTGGGGTGATGATGGGGGTAAAAGTGGGGTGCTGACTAGTGAAGAGCAAGGGGGAGGGCTGGGCTAGGAGGGGAAGGGGAGGACTTCTAAGACTGACTAGGGGCCATGCAGGGCTGCCACTGTTGCCATGGAAAAGATTTCTGGGGGCAGGGGACCATACTGGTGCCCAGTAGGGCTGTGCGAAATGTCACCGAGTGCTTCATTTTGAAGCTATTTTGATGCATTTTGAGCTTGAAATAGTGAAGTCAAAATGAAAAAGGCATTGAAACAGCTTTGAGGTGCAGTTTCTGAGAAACCTCTGCACCTTAGGCATTTTCATGATTCCCCATTATAGCCTATAAGCAAAACGTCAAAACAAGTCAAAACAGAGAAACAGTTTCAATTAAATGAGTTGGGACAGTGCTTCAAACCAAAATGAAATGATTAAACAAAACACTGTCCCTTTGAAACGGTGAAATGGACGTCAAAACGAAATGATGGTGTTTCGCACAGCCCTAGCACCCAGGGCTGGTTCCCCATTTACCCCACCTAGTTAAGTTACTGACCCTACAAGCCTGTTCTGGCACAGACTCACACCTACTGCCTCTCCCCCTCCTGGCTCACAGCTCCATCCTGGCCACACCATCCCCCTCTCCTCCCTTGTCCCCGCCCCCGCCACATACAGAGCTTCAATGCAAGCTGCTGTTAGAGGCAGGGAACAGAAAAAGACCCTGTGGCAACACATGGCTAGCAACCAGTGAGTGGTCTATGCATGGTCCAGACAGCTGAAAAACCCTGACAAGAGTTCCATGCCAGGTGCTGCATTCCCACTCGGGCAGCAAGTAGTGCTACCATGCTCCATCTGTCTTTCAAGGCAGCCTCCAGCTTTTTTCCTGCCACAGAGCTTAGAGCTGTGGTGGCTCTGTGTTCTTATGGAAAGCCAAAAATTTTAATGGATTTTTAGACAGCTGTTTTTGGAGTGTTTTTTAATATAGTATAACAGGGGAAACTTGCCCTGTTACTGGGAACTGGCATGACATCCTTTAAGAGTAGGATTTTTGTGGCAGAGGTAACCCTTAGGTCAAGTCAGCTGACAGGGGACTGACATGACCAGAAAGGGACAGGGCTTTAGTAGTATATATGCCAGAGCAAGGAGATAGACCTGGGATGACGGAGAGTGAGGAGGCCTTGCTGTGAAATGGCTGTTTGGCAGGGAGCTTTGGGAATACAACCTGAGGGACCTGATTCAGAGCCTGGAAGAAGTGTGGAAGGCAGCCAGTGGGCTGGGTATTTATGTTTCATAGTTTCATAGTTTCTAGGGTCGGAAGGGACCTGAGCAGATCATCTAGTCATCATCTAGTCATGTTGTTGCCAGAGAGCTTAAATTTGTGATCAGCTTGTAACCAGTGGTTTGGATGGAACTAGAAAGGGGTAGCTTGGAGGTCTCATTAGTGCCCAAAGGGTATGTGACCAGCTTGAGCCCTGCCAGGGGTCAGGCTCAGGCACAGACAGAAGGCCCAGAGTCTGAGAAGGGGCACTGATAGCCCAGAGAGGGGCAGAGCTTGGTGCAAAAGACTCAGAGCCTGAGATGGGCAGAGATAAAAACCCCAGGGGCTGGAGCCCAGAAGCCAGGTCTGGAACAGTGGCCTGGGCTAAGGGACCATTCAGAGTAGAGGGCAGAAGCTGGGAAGGCTCCAACAAGGGAGTAAAGGCCTCAGGTAGCCTGGTGGCTTTTGGGGTCACGTCCCACCTGAGTGATGATACATAACATCTGCAAGGCATGGACGTGACTATGGAAGCCATGACTTAAATCCTTAAGGCAAGCAAGGTTGAGAGAGTTGACCACTGAAAAATAGGGAGCACCTTAGGCTTACCAGTCTCTGAGGGCAGCCTCCCTTTCATGAAGTTTCCACGAAGACATGGCAGGCTGAGAAAGCAAGGTAAGAGAGAGAGCCTGGCAAGGATGAGGTGGCCTATGGGGGCATCACAATGGTCCTCAGTTGCCTAACCTGTTACACACTGGGTGCATCTATACATGCATTTGATCCAAGATCAATTTACTTGCAAGTAAATTGTTCACAGATAAATGCTCCTGGGCAGGTGTCTACACATTCAGGGACTAGGGAGAAGATTTGCTGCTCTTAGCACCAAACTTCCTGCAGCCCTGCAATGGGCCCCTGCCACCAGTGTGGGGAGCTCCATGTTCTGGCTACAGCTGCCAGCAGCCCTTCTGGAAACCCATCCCCACTCTCTGCTGCCTGGACAGCCACTTCCCTCACTAGGAGAAGCCTGAATAGTACACAGGCAACATGCGGCAGCTCTCTCCTCACCGCTTCTGGCACCCTCCACCATGGGTGCTCCAGTCCCTGCCCCTGGCAGCAATAACCAGCATCCTGGGCTCCAGCTGGCCACCATGCTGGCCCACCACACCAACTGCTGGCTGGCCCACAGCTGTCTGGCCCCTTCCAGCTCCCTCACATGCAGCAACCACCTGCTCAGCTCCAGGGCTGCCACCACCATGCAGCTGCCACCTGGACCCCATCTAGCTGGCTGGACCCAGGCAAGGATGCTGATGACGGGCTCCTGGAGACCACAGCTGGGACTACCCTTGAAGCCCTCCTGGGCCTCCAGCCTTACTGCCTCTGGGCCCACTGGGCCAGCCAGGACTGGTGGCTACATATCATCCAGCAGACCAGAGACAATGAGCAGTGGCTGGAGGCATTCTGGATGACGTGGGCCACCTTCCTGGACCTCCTGGATCAGCTCCAGCCACACCTGGAATAGCAGGACACCGCCATGCAGCCATCTCTCCCCATAGAAACCTGGCTGAACCTCAACCTGCTCAAGCTGGCCACACCTGCCAGCCTCTACTATATGGGCCATCTCTTTGGGGTGGGCAAGGCCACCACTGGAGAAGCCATCCTGGAGGTATGCGGACATGATGGGGCAAACAGTGCCCCATGTGCATCACTCCCTGCCAGTAGTGGTGGAATTACATGCCCTGAGATTCCCCCAGTGCATCAGGGCCCTAGATGGGACCCACATCCCCATCCCTTGCCCACCCCATGGGGACTGGCCCTACTACAGCCACTGAGGCTGTCACTCCATGGTGCTCCAGTCCATTGTGGACCATCTAGACACCTTCATGCTTGGGCAGAGGAGGCGTAATAGGCTCCTAGCAATGGGAGTACCACCTGTGATGGCAATGACAGTGATGCCTCCCCTCCACCAGTTGAGGCCCTGGGTGAGCCACACACCTTCCAGTGGAGGTCAGGCACCATGGAGAGGCCTGCTGCTGGGCGGTGGGCATTTGCCAGGGGGCAGGTGCAGCTAGGGTTGGGAGCTGGGCAGCAAGTGACACAAAGGCAACTGCCAGGGCCAGGATGGCATACAGCACCCAGCAGTCATCATCCATGATCTCCACCATCTGAGCCAGGTGTTCTGCTCCCACAGCACCTCCACCCGCTCACAATCCAGGGTTAGGGGCTGTGCCCAGAGCTCCCAGTCTGCCAGGTCCCATGCCTCCTCACTGGTAATGTCCTCTACCTGCCAGGCCCATGAGTACTGCAGCTGGTCTTCTGACACAACCAGCAGCTGCCCCAGCAAGACAGTACAGTTCTAGGTCTGCCTCTGGCAGAGCTGGTGCATCCACAGGGCCCCAGCTGTGGGCAACAGTGACCCTGACCCCACATCCTTGCTGCCAAGTGGGGCCTCTCTCCTGCATGCAGGATGTGCAGAGCCATGAGAAAGAAACTATTTGTGAGAGTTTGCAACATTTTTCAAAGCAGATGCTCTGTGGCAGAGGCCATGCGCAGCCGGGCCTGATTTCGGGGATCAGGCATGCACAGGTGTCCAGGGACCATAGTAAGTTAGCCAGGTAGGCCTGGGCTCAGGCGGCTGCCAGCCAAGCCCCCATCCCCACTCACTCCCTTGGGGCCAGCAGGCCACTGGGTGCTGGCTGTGGGCAACCTGCCTCCTTTGCCTGCTTCCCAGAGTGGGAAAGGGCAGGCTCCTGGCAGCACATGTTGCCATGGCTCTGGACCCCATCCCTCCTCTTCTTCTCCAGCAGGTCACCCACTCTGTTGCATTGCCATCCAGTCCATGATGCCTGAGCTTGAGGCAGGAGAGGGGGTGCAGGGCTCCCAGACAACTGGAACGAGGAGCTGCCCATGCTCCTATCCTCCCTGCAGGGGGCCTCTCCAGAGAAGCACCCTGGAGCCAACCCCCCACCATGCCAGCACAGCACCCCAAGCATGTCCCTGTTGTGCACCACAGAACTGTGTGAGGAGCTGTTTGGATGGACTAAGGAGTGCCCAACCCACTATACCCTGCTGATGATGATCACTATGGTGTCATGGGCACACCTGTGCACTGGCACATGACCCTGATTTTCAGCGGTGCTGGAGGCAAGCCCAGGATAGCCCACAACTCCACTGCCACCTGGGGGGCTACCTATGGCTATGCTACACATCCCTGTCCCTCACAGCTGAGGAGCACATTGCTGCCAGCATTGTTGCATTCCTCAGCATGTAAGAGGACAATGACCACCTAGCTGCAGGGACACAGGTTGCTCAATCAATTTTTTTACTGGCAGGGGAGAAACCAGGGGCAAGGGAGTGCAGCCAGGCCAGGTAGGAAGGTGGGGGCAGGGGTAGGGGTCGGGAGGGCCTTCCCCCCAGTGTAGGATTTACCACGTGTCTGGGGCTGGTGTGTCTGGTGGTTCTGCTTAGTCCTGGCTGGCTGGTGGCTCTGGGCAGTGTCCTTGGACAGCGGGGAACAGCATGCAGGCACCTGGCCAGGAGCACTGCAGGGAAGTGCTGGCAGTGCTGGCAGCTGGCAGTGTCATGGCTGGCCATGTCTTGTGGCTGGACCTGGGACTGCAGAGCTGGCAAGGCAGGCGCTAGCCCCGACTCCCTGAGTTGCTGGTGGTGACTGCAGCCAGGAAGCTCAGTGTTACAGGCAGCTGGATGCCTGAGGGACCCTCCCACAGTAATGTGTTACCACAGGTACCAGGCTAGGGTGGGGGCTTGGGCAGGTTGCTCGTGATGCTGTAGACAGCATGGCTTTGGCCTGGGTCCAGGGTATGAGGATCTCCGTCAGTTGCTGCATAAAGGGGATGGACTTGCAGGCACTCCTGGACAAACAATTGTG